GCATATTTGCTAGCCGGATTCTGTACCGCTCCAATCTGTACCGACTCGAGTGCTGGTTTATTTCGTCAAAGACCGTGGAGAATTTCAGGTCACGATGCAATATGGTATTTCTTATTACCCATTCACAGCCGGTAACCAATCTCGTGATTTTATTCTGGGTGGCCTGAATTCGACGAATTTGGCTATCACAAGCCAGACCCCAGATTTGGCACCCATATTTCCATATTTGCGCAATAATCTGATTATAAATGTTTACCTTATTAGTAAGTGACAATTTACTGCGCGAGCAGAGGAGTCAATAGTGCTCCTTCACAGCCGCACGTAAGCGCATTGTAAGCGCCGTGACGTGCTTGGAGAAGGTGAGTCTCCGATCCAGTATTATTCCGAGGTACTTAGCATCATGCGCCTGCGGCACTGGATCTCCCTCCAAGAGCACGGGTGGCGGCGTTCTGCGCCTCAGCGTATAGCTAACATTGACTATTTGCTGCTGTTGATGGCAATATGCCATCGCCTTGCCCAGCCCGCAAATTTTGTCGCCAAGTCTTTGATGCCGTCAGCAGCATCGTACTCACATCGGGACCTATATGTGATGCATATGTCATCTGCGAAGGTGGCCAACATTGATGATCAGGCTGCGGCATGTCGTGGCTGTACAGGCAGTATAAGAGGGGGCCAAGGACACTACCGCGTGGTACTCCAGCTGCCACATCATTCTCAGTGGATAGCGCCGTATGAAAGCGTACCGCATATCGCCTTCCTTCGAGGTACGACCTGAGCAGTCCGAAATATGGCGCAGGGAGAGCCCGTTTGATTTTCAGCAGCATTCCGGCATGGCACACTCAATCGAACGACTCGCGGATGTCCAGATAGAGTGCATTGCAGTACTCCTTGTTGTCGTACGCCGTTAGTATTTGGTCGACAGCTCTATGAAACTGCTCTACTGTGCTGTGACCTGCACGGAAACCAAATTGGTGCTCCGGGATAATTCCTCGAGCTTCCATAATCCTTACCAGCTTGTGGATCATTGTGATTAATCCAAGCTTCTACTGAGGAGGGAAGTATTACAACCTTACTATAGCATTGAACACCAACGCTATGAAGCAAACCGCATGTCAAGGCAGAGTGGCATTGCAATGGCATCGTGTCCCGGCGCTCTATTTGTGTTCAGACTAGCAATAACTTCAACTGCCTCACTTGGGTCGAGTGGCTTAATAGGTAGATCCATTTGAATCGCTTGATTCAGCTGGTCCTCAGTATCCTGGACCTCTTGAAGGTTGGCCAGAAGAAATGGCTAGAAACGCTCAGCAAAGTGACTGGCAAACACCTCTGCTTGCTCCAAGTCCGTCCGGCACCATGTTCCGTTTCCGTTAGCCATCATTAGACCTCATCTTTTCGGCAATAAGCAGCAGAATTTCTCTGGTTACCGGAATCCTGTCAAATCCTTGGTTTCGTCCTAAGATAGCCTAAAGCAGACGCATCCAGCGTAATTATGAGGGATAGGTGACCAGAGCTGAGATCAACGACCGCTCTAATGTCAGTGTGGATGCTCAGCAATCCGTTAGTCAGAGCAAAATCGATGTAGCCTGGTGAGCCTCTGCTGCTGTACGGATACCTCGTTGGTCCCCCTGTTGCCAGTGCGCTAAGGACTAAAATTGTGCTGAGAAAACAAAATCAATTTTTTTATTATTCTCGATAACAAAGCAATCGGATGAGTTATCGAAAAATATGATAACCTTTTACTGCGTATGGTATACACAAGTCTACATGCAAAATTTCTCTAGCTCTTATAACTTCTGAGATCGACGCACTAATACGGACGGAGGGACGGACAGGGCTATATCGACTCAGCTCGTCGTCCTGATCAAGAAAATATACACTTTATGGGGTCTGCGATGATTCCTTCTGCCTGTTACATACTTTTCATAAAATCACTCCAGTATAAAGTAAGAAAGCTCAAGTCGTGACTGCTCGACTAGGAGATCCCCTGAACATTTCGAGCAACTGATATTTCAATAATTATTCGCACTTTCATACACACACATCCATACGCACGCACGCATAAACACACATTGGCTGCAGTGATGGCTTACTTAACTTAATTATTTAATAACTTTTTTTGTCGATTGACGATCTTCATGAAGATGATTATAACATGGATATGCATGCATTTGCCAAAGCACAAGTCTCTAGCATTTGAAATACCCCTTTTACAAAGGTGTTGGTGAGGGAGTGAAAATAGGAGTGGGGGTAAATTTTAACAAAAATCGAAATTGTATAAAATGCATCTATATCTACATTGGACACTCTAGCCTTAAAGATGTAGGAGATATTATTTTATAACTGATTTTCTAATAGGTTTTTTATTGATAACAAAATAACGGGATGAGTTATCGATTTTTGGAGATCAACTCGATATCCGCGCTATATACACGGACACTTAACAAAAATTTGAAGTCTCTAGCTCTTATATCTTCTGAGATCGACGCGTTCATACATACGGACAGACAGATGGACAGGGCAAAATCGACTCAGCTCGTCGCACTGATGAAGAATATATATGCTTTGTGGGGTCTGCCACGCCTCCATCTACCTGTTACATATATTTCATCAAAACCATTATACCCTGATTACCCATTTTTAAAGTATCCAAATCTTAAATGTAGATTCATATGTACTTTATAGAATTTCGATTTTTGTTATAATTCATCCCCCCACCCTTATGTCCTCCCCCTCACCCACATATTTGTAAAAGATGTATTTCAAATACTGCTGGGGCAAGTGCATGCATTTCATTGTTATAATCATGATCTGAAAGTTTAATGAAGACAGTCTACCCACAAGAAAAGTAATTAAACAATTAAGTTCTCCAAGTAAGCGCACACTGCAGCCCGTGGGTGCTTGTGTGTTATGTGTGTGTGTGTGTGCGTGTGTGTGTGTACATACATTTGAAAATTATGATTATGTTCTGAAAGTTTCATTAAGATTGTACGTCTAGAAATTAAATTATTCAACAAATAAATTCTAATAATGTTGCCCACACTGCAGCGCAGCCTAAGCGCAGTCGCTGCTTACTGCGCAGCTAGCAAAGAGCGTTCTATTACGTGCGTGTGCATGTATGTGTGCAGAAAAGAAGTGCAGAGTGATTAGAATATCAGATTAGAGGGTTCAGGGTATCGAGCAGTCTCGACTAGAGTCTTCTTACTTGTTTTATATTCGTTTATTAACAGCTTTTACAATATGATTTTAGGTGTGTTTAGGTGGCTAAGGGTAGCGCACGATGTGTGCGGGACGGCCGTAAAGCATTGCTTCGCAAGCACATTTCACTCCCTTCGCCTGGGACAGCTTGTCTTCGCTCGATTCTGCGAAGCTCCATCAAAATTGTGACCGCGAAGGTGCTTATAAGTTTTCAAGCTGCCTCCGATTCAAGCATAACGTTGACCATGTTGTCCGCTCTAAGGGAGCGGCCCACTGCTTTTTCCAGACAACGCCTCTCCTCTAGGAAGTGTCCACATTCGAATAAGACGTGGTACTCCGTACTCGTACTCCACCAGACCTCGTCCGCATCAAGAGCATTCGTCAGTTTCTTCGTGGCCAAAGCGCGGTGGCGCAAATGCCCCGGCTGTAGCTCGGTGGTGCCATCGCTCTTGCCCATATTGGCGCAGCATAGGGGATGATGGACGCTCATTAGAAGGAGACGTCGCTGCTGTTTTGGTCCTCGCGTGTTAAGCATAATTCTTGAGAGAGCTCTACAAGAATCAGCTGCCTTTTTATGCACATATTCTAGGTGCTCGCGGAAAGTTAATCTTGTGTCTATCATGACACCAAGATATTTTATCGCCCTCTCTGATGCAATGGTGACGCTGCCGATCTTTATATTGGCAGTTTCCATTCTTTTGCGACTGATGATTAGGACGACTTTGGTTTTGTGTGCCGCTAGCTCGAGCCCAGGTCCTGTTAACCAGTTTCGTATGCGATTGATACTTTCGCTGCACATATCCTCAGTATCTTTAAGCTCCTTGCCTATGACGACGACAGCAAAGCCAATGGTGTGCACACTTGCTGGAAGTTCCAAGCGCAATACGCCTTCGTACATAATATTCCATAGGAGAGGCCCCAGCACTCAGCCTTGAGGTACTCCAGCTGACACTTTATGAGTTTGGGGACCCTCACTCGTGTAGTATACCAGAGTTCTTCCTCTGAAGTAACTCTTTATTATCTCTTTTAGATATTAAGGGATATTATATTGTGATAGTGCATCCAGTATCGTATCTCAACTAGCTGTGTGAAAGGCATTCTTTACATCCAGGGTCGCGGTGATGCAGTATTGCTTCGTCCCGTGCCTCCATCTGGTGCCTTGGATGGCGGAAGTTGCCAGGACAGCAACTTTTTCTAGCGCATCTGTTGTTGACCGGGCCTTCCGGAAACCAAATTGATTAGGTGACAGGCCTCCGGCGCTAGCAATAGAAGTCTCCAGTCTAGAGCAAATCAGACAGATTGGTTAATACGACGATAGCTCTTCCGGTGGCTTGCCAGCCTTGGGTAGCAATACCAGGTTCTGGGTTTTCCAGGCTGCAGGGAACGTCTCCTGAATTAAACATTCATTGTATAATTCGGCAAACGTAGCAGGGTGCAAGGCGAGGGCTAGCTTTAACGCACGATTTGGGATCCCGTCCGGCCCAGGAGCTGTGTTAGTTCTAAGACCTTGTGAGGAGCAATATAGGTATGCACGTATGAACGTACGTATTTGCTGTGCGTTTATATGCATATACGGGCATATACATGTTGCTCCACACAGCGACGCGAATACTGTAGGAGCGACCCTCGCACTGGAAAGGGGATCAAAGTCCTGTTAGAGGCGGTCTCTTTCGCTCCTACAGATTCAGCAATGGGTTCGCGTCGCACGCACGACGATCATCGATGACCGTTAGCCGAGGTGCCGTTCGGGCCGGGTGATAGCAGTGAACATTTTCACTCGCATGGCAACAACGGTACTTCGGCCAATGGGAGGCTGCCACGCAATTTGACGGGAAAGTGGCGTCACCCAGATCACGCCACTTTACCGTTTTTTATGGGCATGAGCGACAGAAAGGCCCCGCTCCAGAGCCGAACAGGCCCCGTTACCACACGAAGCAGGGCGTGTGGCTGGGGTATAAAAGGCCACCAGCAGCTCCATACGAGGCAATCGAAACTATACTGAAAAGAAGATATAAAGTGAAAAGTCGAAGTGCGTGAAGAAAGTGCCAAAGTCAAGAGAAAGTCAACGCGAGTAGTAAATCAGGACTCCCAGGACATCGTGGGAACAGCAAGGACATCGTGGGAACAGCAAGGACATCCAGAGGGAATCCTTGCGGATCATCAGCGGCACCGATCAGGACATCGGTGCATATCAGCGGCTTAAGCAAGGCCTGCACATCTGAGCAGTGCTGCCATTTTAGCCATTAAGTTGCTAGATCTAGCAATTTTGAATTTGAGTTTGCAATTTTTTTTTTTAATTGCTATTAGCCACAAATATAGCTATTTAAAAAAAAAAAAAATTATGCAACTTTTATGTGATTTTTGTGATCTCACAATAACATCATCTTAAAAAGAACTCAACTTGTTCAAAATCATAACAATATCAATAAATGCACAAACTTGTGAACAATAGTTCAATAGTTGTGAACAATAAGTAGTTCACAAATTCATCGAAAGTGATCGAGTGTCATTTGTGCGCTGAGCTTTAAATTGTATGCTGTTTTGTTAGATTCATTAAAAGTTTTATAAAATATGCCAAAAACGTAACGTATACCCAAAAATTTCGCGATGTGTGGTTGAGTGGCGAGTTTAAAGAGTGGATTCGCAAGGATGACACAGACTCAACAAGGGCCTATTGCGCCTATTGCAAGTGCACTATTGGCGCGAAGCTTTATGATGTGCGCCACCACGCTGCCACAAAAAAACATATAAGTGCGATGGGTGCGTGTACACAAAAAAACAAGTTGCCTTTTGTTGTAAAATGTGACAAGACGGAGGAGCATGAGGCTGCACTGTGCCTATACATTGCAAAACACGCAGAAATAGTGACAAGCGATCATTTGTCGCAATTATGTGCGCACAAATTTGCAGCTTGCCAATCGGCAGCAAACATAAAATTGGGCAGAACAAAGTGCAGTTATATAATAAAACATGTTCTTGCCGAGCACTTTGCGGAAAATTTGCGGGCTGATATTGGTGACTCGGCATTCAGTCTTTTGCTAGACGAATCGACAGATATAAGTGTCACAAAGATACTTGGTAAGCATTATTTATATATTTATTTGTGCTTATATGCGTAGCAGTATACTTAATTTAATATATGTTTAAATTTTCTTAAATCTTTAGGAGTTGCTATTAACTATTTCAGCAATAGTAAAGGCACAGTTGTCTCAACATTTCTAAGCCTTGAGTGAAGTGTGCGACGCGATATGCATAGCAGATGCAGTTAGGAAATTGCTTTTAAGAAAAAGCTTGAATATAGGCAATTTGATTGGTATTGGAACTAATAACGCAACCGTTATGACTGGATCCAAACAAAGTGTCTATACTGAGCTGAAGAAGTCAGTTCCTTCGCTTCAGCTCATAAGATGCGTCTGTCATTCTGTGCAGCTAGCCGTTATTAATGATGAAGAAAGTATATTGGAACAATCGGACGACATTTTAACTATCATTTAAAAACTTAATCATAAATAAAAGTAATAAATTTAACATATAAAATTTTAACAAAATTTGGCAATTTCTTTTTAGCAATTTTAGCAACTTTTTTTGAAATTCTAGCAATTCTTGCCTTCAAAATTCTGGCAGCACTGCATCTGAGTAAGTTCACGTAGCCGTGCGCAAGAGAAGTGTTTGTGAGTGAAACGTAGCTAGTGTTGTGCTGTGAGCGAGTGGGATAGTAGGAGAGGCCTGTATATAGTGATGGCACGATTAATCATTTGATACACAATAATCGATTATTTTCTTTCAATTCACGATTTAATTGTATCACAAAATGGGTTTTGAATAATCGAGACAATCGATGATTTGCTCAAAAAATCGCATCGCTATAAGCAACATTGGCGCGCAAAAGTTGTAAAGCGAAGCGTAATTATGGCACCAACAATTGGTAAAGTGTGGAGATTTTTTTCCAAATTAAATGACACGAATGTGAATTGCCAATTGTGCCAAAAAAAACAACTGAAGTATTGTAAAAACCAATATGCTACTCAAACATACGAAAGAGTTCGTGTCCCTCAAGGTGAGTTTTCAGTTGTCTATAATAATGAAAATACTTAAATTTAACAATATCAAGCGCATACGACAAGAAATGGCGGAGCTTTCAGATATAAATGAAATGAAAAACAGAGCACCTTTCACAACTACTATTTCTTAACTCAATTTTAAATAAATAAACATTTATATTCTTTACTGTTCTTGTTGCTATTGTTGCTTCTAAAAGGAGTTCATAAAAAATAAATTAAGCGCATTCAAAAAAATCATTTGATTAATCGATTTTTCCATTTTTCCGCGATTAATTGCAATTTATCTTTAAAGCACCTAAAATAAATCATATGATTAAATAATCGAACAATGATTTTTTTTTTTTGCCATCACTACCTGTATATCTGAGCGAACCGCCAGAGCTTACAGATCGAAGTCCAGGCGTTTCCCGAATCGTCCCGGTGAACTAGCGTGTTTTAGCACAACACTCTCCCAGCCGGAGTGCGTTGAACCAGCGCTCAGTAGGCGTGCTTCGCTAAAGCCAACCAGCGAACCAGCATAAATTTAAGTGACGTGTACATTTCAAACTTATTTAAGAGAATATACATTTACGCTAAAAAAAAACCTAAATTCACAAGTGACTAATTAATATCGCAGGGGCTTCAACAAATAAATTTGTTGGCACGAATCCACAGTCAGTTGAAACTAGCCCAGCTTAGACTCGGGATAAACCGAAGGTTCGTTACAACTGGCGCCCAACGTGGGTCCCTGCGATAAGAGATTAATTAGCGAATATTTGTGAATATGGTGCGAACGTGGGTATATAATCTGAAAAAGGATGAAGTGCTGCGTTATGGTGACGAATTCGGAGTGAGCTTGTCAGGCACACTGGACGCGATGCGGAGGCAGTTGGAATCAGAGCTTGCGCATGTGGCGCGGCTCCGTGTGCCCTCTACAAGCGCAGCAGCACGACTGCAGGACACGCGACAGGGTGAGATGAGAGCCACATCCACCCCACAACCTGAAAAAAAGCCACGAGGACTCGGCAGCACAGCCCAAGAATATCCAAAGGTGGCCAAACAAGTGCGAGAGTGGAGCTTCCGCTGTGATGGCACCACAAAGCCTTTGGAGTTCTTGGAGCAGGTGGAGTGGTCGGCGGACACCTATGGCCTGGATCTGGACATGATCCCGCGGGCGATGCCAGAGCTGCTGAAGGGCATGGCATTAAAATGGTACGTGGCCAACAACCGGCACTGGACGGCGTGGGCGACATTCGTGCGCAGCTTCCAGGAGTTTTTCCCTTTTTGCCCAGAGGCTATCTGGAGAAACTGGAGGATGACGTCAAACGCCGGAGGCAAATAGTAGATGAGAGCTTCAAGGTCTACATGGTGGAGATACAGACTCTCATGCGGCCTCTGCGCTATGGAGCAGACCGCGGATGAAGCTCATCTACAACAACAGCCTGCCCGATCTGCGTGCCTACGCCCGCCCATATCAATTCCATAGTCTAGTGGAATTGATGCACCTGGCAGATGAGTTTGAGGAGCTGGAGAGGGACCGCGAGTGGTTGCGGCAACAGCCACGGCCTGGCCGGTCACGGCTGATGGCCATGGACGACGCTGGAGGCGATGTGGAGTATCGCCGCATGGAGGATGAGGCGAAGCCTTCTCCTGCGCCAAGGACAGGCGCAACCGGAGCAAGGACACACATCCCGAATCCAGCCAGGGCATGCCGAGTGTGTGGCCAGGAGGGGCACCGCGCTTTTACGTGCCGCAAGAAGGCACTACATTTCTGCTGGCAGTGCGGGCGCATTGGAGTGAGAACGTTTGCCTGTTGCCAGTCGGGAAACGAACAGCGGCACTCGCCATCAAGGGGCGAACTGGAGCAGCGGCCAGGAGCCCACAGGCGCTAGTGGGCCGTCTTCAGGATGAAGGCAGCCAGATGACAGCGATCGTGGCCATTGGAGCCACTCAACAAAGAGCTACGATCGACACGGAAGCCACAAGCAGCTTTATCAGCGAAAAGCTTGCTGACGAGCTCAGAGGAGTGGGCGTGGTGTGTGCTACACGGCGGCGCATACGCTTAGCGGACGGCAGTTGCAGTCAGGTGGACTCGCATCTGGAGACGACGATCAGCCTGGGGAACTAGCAAATCCACACTGGAATTCGGCGGCTTGACACTGAGGATCAAGCCGAGAATTCCACAGTCGAGCGGACAGTCAGAGGAGAAGCTGTCCGTGGCTGTGGCCAGTGTGGAGGCGGACCCAGAGTTGCCAGCGGAGGCGAACATGGAGCAGCCAACGCCTATGCACAAAGACCCAGAAGTGGACGCTTGTCTGAGGCATGAGCTGGAGAAGTTCCAGCATGTGAAGGGCACCACCAGGATCACGGAGCACCGGATCAGGATGCAGGACAACAGACCCATAAAGCAGTGCTACTTCCCCAAAAATCCAAAAGTGCAGGCGGAGATCAACCTGCAGGTAGATGAGCTGCTGGCCAAAGGGTGCATCGAGCCCTCGAAGAGCCCACATAGCCCGCCGATTGTCATGGTTCGCAAGAAGAATGGGAAGTGGCGGCTATGTGTGGATTTTCGACAGCTGAACAGCAGATCCATTAAAGATGCATATTCACATTTTGGATCAGTTGCGAGAGGTGCGCTACATCAGCAGCCTGGATTTGAAGGATGGGTATTGGCAGATACCTATGGAGAAGGCCAGCAGACCACTGACGGCATTCACGGTGCCAGGAAAGGGGCTTTATCAGTGGAAAGTGATGCCGTTCGGACTCCATTCTGCGCCGGCAACATTTCAGCGAGCGCTGGACCAAGTTATCGGCCCAGAAATGATGCCCCATGCCTTTGCCTACCTGGACGACATCATCGTCATCGGCCGAACGCGACAGGAGCATGTGAACAACCTACAAGAGGTGTTTCGGCGAATGCGGGCTGCCAACTTGAAAATCAACATCGACAAGTGCGATTTTTTCAAGAAGGATCTACGCCAATACGTGGGCGTGGCTTCATGGTACCGCCGCTTCGTGCCAGATTTTGCAGCCACAGTGCATCCGCTAAATGCACTGCTCAAAGAGGGCACAATTATGGGCTTGGGGCAATCCTGACGCAGACCTCGGAGGACGGAGAGTGCGTCATTTCGTATTCCAGCCGGACACTGAACAGTGCTGAAAAGAACTATTCAGCTACTGAGAAAGAGTGTCTGGCCATAATCTGGGGCATACGAAAGCTCAGGCCATACCTGGAAGGCTACTAATTTGTAGTGGTCACTGACCATATGGCTCTAAAGTTGATCAATTCGATCGAGAGCCCAACGGGAAGGATTGCCAGATGGGCACTTGAGCTGCAGCAGTATGACTTCGAGATTCGCTACAGGAAGGGCAAGCAGATGCGCTCTCACGGCAGCCTCTGGGAGAGGAGGCGTGCCGTTTGGTCAAGAGCAAGGAGATGCCAGCTGGGACAGGATGTCGCTGGCTCACCAAACTTCGACAGGACATAAAGAAGGCGCCACATAAGTTTCTAGACTATAGGGAAGAGTCTGGAAACCTATTTCGGCACATCCCACATCAAGCCGGCCACGAGGATGTGGCTGCATGGAAGTTGTGCGTGCCGGCGGACCGGCACAAACAAGTACTGGAGGAGAATCACGACGCAGCCACCGCTGGCCACCTTGGGAGCCGAAAAACAATCGCTCGGGTGGCAGCGCGGTATTACTGGCCAGGTATGTACCGGAAGGTGAGAACATACGTACAGCGCTGCGAAGTGTGTCAGCGATATAAGCCCAGTCAGCTGCAAGCTGCTGGGCAAATGCTGACGCAAGTGCCCGAGGAGCCATGGGCAACAGTTTGTGCCGATTTTGTTGGCCCACTGCCGAGATCAAAGCATGGGAACACTATGCTTTTGGTTTTCATAGATCGCTTTTCGAAATGGACGGAGATGGTGCCGCTGCGGAGTGCGAATAGCCCGGCTCTCCAAAAGGCATTTCGAGAGCGGATCTTGGCACGGTTCGGCACGCCAAAGGTGCTCATTACGGATAATGGTACCCAATTCACCAGTCGGGCATTCAAGGTGGCTCTAGAGGAGCTTGGGGTGCGCTACCAGCTGACAGCACCATACACACCTCAAGAGAATCCCAACAGGACAGTGAAAACGATGATTGCGCAGTTCGCTGGAGGTGACCAGAGATGCTTGGATGACACATTGCCGGAGTTGACGTTAGCGGTCAACAGCAGCGTGTCAGCATCTACAGGGTATTCGGCAGCCTTTATCACGCAAGGGCGAGAGCCAAGGCTGCCCAAATCACTGTTCGACGCGCAAACTATCGGCACCGGCCAGGAGGCACAGAGCCCAGTCGAGAGAGCCAACAAGATGCGCGAGGTGTTCGAGATAGTGCGTCGGAACCTGGAGAGAGCTGGACAGAATCAGGCGCGGCATTACAACCTACGGAGGCGGCAGTGGAAGCCGGCCGTAGGTGACAAGGTGTGGGCAAAGGAGCGTCACTTGTCTAATGCCGCAGAGGGATTCGCAGCGAAACTGGCACCACGCTATGGAGGCCCATATATAGTGGCCAGTTTTGTGTCCCCAGTCATCTGCCGGATCAGGTCGGAGGCAGAGAAGCGGACCAGGACGGCACATGTGGCGGATCTCAAGCCGTGGAGAGGAGACACGGGTGAGCAATAGAGCTGTTTGTTTTTTTGTTTTGGAAAAAAAAAAAAAAAAGTAAGAAGACTCTAGTCGAGACTGCTCGACTAGGATATACCCTGAACCCTCTAATCTGATATTCTAATCAGTCTGCACTTCTTTTCGACACACATACATACACACGCACGTATTAGAACGCGCTCTGCTAACTGCGCAGTAAGCTGCGACTGCGCTTGGGCTGCGCTGTAGTGTGGGAAACATTATAAGAATTTATTTGTTGAATAATTTAATTTTTAGACGTACAATCTTAATGAAACTTTCAGGGCGTAATCATATGGTCAAAATGTATGTACATTCCAAAGCACAAGTCTCTAGTACTTGAAATACGCCTTGTACAAAGGTGAGGGTGAGGGGGTGGATATAGGGGTGGGGGGTAAATAACAATAAAAATCGAAATTATATAAAATACATATAAATCTACATTTAAAATTTGCAAGCTTTAGCTCTAAAGGTGTAGGAGATATAATTAAATAACTAGCTTTCGATAAGGTTTTTAATCGAT